AAAAAAAAAAAGGGTTTACGGATTTTGATTGTTAAGACTCAAGTGCCTATTTGACGTTGTTTCTCTGTGTTTTCAATTTTTTGTACAGTGAATGATGACTGAGATGTACGCGGACGAGCAGCAAATCTTGGAAAAATCTGGGGACAGCTCACGTGAAAGTTTTCTCCAAATTGTTTGTCGTTGGTAATAAATGTCATCTAAAAATTTCGCTTGTGTTTCAAAAGTACCCCCAAAAGCATTTATTATTATCAAACGATTACGGTTAATTTGTTTGGTAAATTCAGGGATAGAATTGGAAATTTAAATTCAACGGTTGGCTGTAAATCAGAAGAATTGATTGCTTGTCAGAAGTCTTGCAATTACTGCTGATTTTAAATTAGTATATTACTGTTTGAGAAATTTTGCATTAAAATGGGAATATTAAAATAATATTATTTTTTGTTTGTAGTACTCATTTTCAATATTACTTTTTCTATAGTACTCATTTTCAACCACATATTATTAATTAAAATAATATTATACGTAAATCAGAAAATTTTATTTTTTTTAATCACACATTTCAGTATCAATCACTATTTCATAATACATTACTCATAAATAATGGGACACAAACAATCACTAAAAGGTGTCCTGTCGATTTGGCCTCATTTTTTGAAATAAAAATGAAGGGAATAATGTTCTTTTGAAAATGAGTATTTGAAAAAGAAGAATTTTTTTTTTAATTTTACGTAAAATATTATTTTATAGAAGATTATGTGATTGAAAATAGAATAGAAAAAATTGAAATAGAATTTAATGGGAGCCAATCGAGGGCTAAATCTTAATTTTCTCGTAGACTCTCTTTAAACTATTTGCTTCATGAAAGATTCTTTAATTTTATTTCTCAGGATTCATTGATTAATGCTAGATCAAGCAATAAATCCACGTGTTACATGAACGGTGGCTTATGATAAGCCACCTTTGTCATTCATTAATTCCTATTACATTACATTATATTATATTTTTCTTTCTTGTATTTTTAATCACACAATTTTCATAAAATAATATTACATGTAAATCGAGAACTTTTTCTTCTTTTTCAATAACTCATTTTTCAAAAAAAAAATAATAATACGATCCACCCATTTTCAATTCTCTAAAATGAGGGCCAAGCATGGGCTAAGTCATAGGTAGAACCTTTCCCTTTGTTAATTACTGGATAAATTGTAAGAAATTTTGCTTGTGTCGTCATAATTCGTATTGAAATAAGAAGTTTTTGTTATCCTCAATCACAAATTTCATCATAAAAGTTAATAATTTACAGTGCATGTTTGGCAAAGTTATTTCTTAGATTTCGATAAAAAAAAAAATTGCAGAAATATAGGGTTGAAAAATTATGATCCCAAGAAATTTATGGTTAAAATAAACTATTTATTTCACCTAAAATTTTCATTAACTTTTCAAGCTATATTAACCTCAGCTGATTTCTTATGCCAATAGTCTGTGTTTTATAAATAGAGGGAGTATGGTTGGACTTCTGCAACCTAGACAGATGACTTCGTTTTGTGCAATTGCATCTGTAGCCAATTGCATTCCATATTCTTCTTCCTTCTCTTCCAATAAACCTTCATTTTTCAAACACCAGAGAAAAGACCCTGTCGTAAAATTTACATGCAGAGCCAAAAATGATGACCAAAGACCTGAAACCACCACCAAAAATGGCGAAAATTCTCCAGAGAAGCTTGACAGGAGGGATGTTCTTCTCGGCTTAGGCGGGCTTTATACCACAAGCCTTGCTGTAAATCCGATGGCCATATCTAAGCCAGCGCTTCCTGACTTCAAAGATTGTATTGAAGCCACACAACCCAACGGAACACCTATCAACTGCTGCCCTCCGCCGCTTGTCGATGAGGTTACGGATTATTGTCCTTGTGCCACCACTGTCAACATTCGAAAGGCTGCTCAGTCATTCACTGTTGATTCAGATTATTACAAGAAGTATTCGAAGGCCATTCAGAAAATGAAGAACCTTGCTCTGTCTGATCCACGCAATTTCTTGCAACAAGCAAATGTCCATTGCGCCTACTGCGATGGAGGTTATACTCAACAGGGACATCCAAATCTTTTGTATGAAATCCATAATTCTTGGCTGTTTTTCCCCTGGCATAGATGGTTCGTGTATTTTTTCGAGAAAATTTGCCAAAATTTGATTGATGATGATACTTTTGCTTTACCCTTTTGGAACTGGGATGCTCCTGCAGGAATGCAAATTCCACCAATCTACAATTCTGGTGTCACATCACCTCTGTATGACACCCTTCGAAACCCGAAACACTTGCCACCGTCGGTGGTCAATCTAGAATGGTTCAACGACGATGCAACGGTAGAACCGGAAGTTCAAATCAAATACAATCTTGCCATAATGTACAGACAAATGATAACCCAGTCAAAGACTCAAATTGATTTCTTCGGAAATCCTATTAGGGACGGTGATGATGTCCCCAAGATCAGTGCCTCCGGTACAATTGAAATAACTCCTCATAATCACATGCATTCTTGGACCGGAACCTCAGTGGACCCTAACAATCCAATCAACATGGGTGTCTTCTACTCTGCCGCTCGAGACCCAATTTTCTCTGCTCATCATACAAATATTGATCGGTTGTGGACCATATGGCTGAATCAACTCAAGGGAACCAATATTACAGACCCGGATTGGTTAAATGCCTATTTCATATTCTACAATGAGGAGGCAAAGCCTGTAAGAGTGAGAATTCAAGATGGTCTCGATATCACAAGACTTGGATATGCATATGAAGAAGTGCCGATTCCATGGCTCGATGCCAGTGCAAAGCCAAAATCTCGGACAAAGGCAAAAACCTTGCCTTCTGCACCTGACCCTGCTCAGGTTTTCCCAACAACATTGGACAAACCCATAAATGTGATCGTCAAAAGACCAAAGAAGTCAGGAAGCGGATCGTCAGAGGAGATACTCGTTATTGAGGGAGTAGAATACGATAAAAGAAGCTACGTTGATTTCAATGTGTACATCAACGAAGACGACGTGAATGCTTGTCGTCCAGACAATGCTGAGTTTTTGGGGAGTTTTAGCAATTTGCCCCATGGACACCAGATGAGTGTGAAAACAGATAGACAATTTAGGATTTCTGAAGTGTTGGAAGAATTAGGAGCTCAGGATTATGACAGGGTACTTGTGACATTGGTTCCGAAGAGTAATCCGGTGAAAATAAATGGTATCAAGATTAAGTTTGATCCCTAGCAAGTTGCTGTAAAAGATTTAATGGTGCTTGGTATGGAAGCTATTTATTTAGTTATTAGATTACCAGTTGGTTTAACAGTTTTAACAGCTTTTTGTTGAGAGTTAGTTTAGAGATAATTGCTATGATAAATCAACTGGCGCGTGGTTGGCTCTAATTGTTTAAATAAGGTCTTTATATCTTTTATAGAGCATAGTGAAAGTGTTGGTACTCCTTATCTGGGAAAGCACGCGGAAAACTCATATTTGAATGGAGAGCTTTGAGAGAGAATTTGAGTGTGTAACTTCTGCTTTCATGGTGAATTGACTGGGATATTGTCCTGTTCTTGAATATATCAATTTTTGATCTGAATCCTGTAAACCTCTGGCGTGATTTCTGTGTTCTTTCTTTCAATTCTGTATCAGTTCTTGTTTGTGTGTGTGTGTCAATCTTTAACTAGTTGTTATTAGAGCCTGATTGTACTTGGGCTTCATAAACTGATATCCAAGGTTCTTGATTGAGCATCTCTAGAAGAAAGTGTTGAACCGACTTGCTAGCCAGAAGTTCGAATCAACATGTTTTCTTTAAAGTTTGAAATTGAGAAGTTTGATGGAAGGGTGATTTTAGTTTATGGCAAGTTAAGATGAAGGTACACATAGGAAATCTTGGATTGGATAAAGCTCTCAGAACTGAATCTAAGATGTCTGAGTTCAAAGCTCTCAGAACTGAATCTAAGATGTCTGAAGAACTCATGGGTACCAAGAAGTTAGAGGTATTAAAGAAAGCCAAGAACACTATTGTTTAAAGCATAAGTGATCAAATACTCATAAAAGTGATTAAAAGAAAAGACACAGGCTGAAATGTGGGGCAAATTGGAACAACTCTACATGACTAAGGCTCTACCTAATAGAATCAAATCGGAGAAAAAAAAAATACATGATACAGAAGTTTTACAGTTTTAGAATGGATGATATAAGACGCATTGATGAAAATGTAGATGAGTTTACCAAGCTGGTTGTAGATCCTAAGGTCTTGACATCAAGGTTGAAGAAGAATAAGATCAAGCCATCTTCTTATTGAACTCTTTGCCAAAGCCTTATGTACAACTAAGAGACACTCTCAAGTACTGTTAGAAGAGTTTAACTTTAGTTGAGGTCACAAGTGTAGCTTACTCTAAAGAACTAGACTTGAAAGCCAATGGTAAAGGGCCAAGAACAAACTCTAATGGATCTTATATCAATGTTAGGAGGAGGTCTAACAAGAAATGAAACCAAGGAAATTAAGGCACGAGTAAATCAAGATCAAAATCGAGGCCAAGAAAAGTCTTGTGGTAGAGAAGGACATTTAAAAAGAAATTGTCCCCAAAAATAGAATGGTCAAAACAACAACAATTCCCATGATACTCAGAACTCATCTAACACTCCAACATCTAGCTCTGATGGACTTGATTTTGCAGATGTCTTAGCAATCTCAAACAGTGATTCTAATGAAGATTGGGCGTTAGATACTGATTTTACTTTCCACTTGACACCCATAAAGGTGTGGCTCTTTAACTACAGGGAAGTTGATGGTGGAAAATTGCTAATGGGAAACAATGGCCCATGTGATGTAACTGGGATTGGTTCTATCAGACTGAAAGTGTGGGATGTTACCATTAAGATCTTGGAAGATGTTAGGTATATACCAGATCTTAAAAGAAACCTGGTATCACTAGAAAAATTGGATAAAAAGTGGATGTTCATAGAAATGTCAAGATGGAGTCTTGAAAGTAATGAAAAGTTCTTCAATAATCTTGAAGGGAATTCTACAGAAAGGCCTATACATCGTGCAAGGGTCAATGGTAAAGGAACAAATAGGCAATTACAGATTTGGTTATGGATAATACTGAACTATGGCATTGATGGTTAGCTCATATGAGCCTAAAATGGCTGCAAGAATTGCAAAAAAACAAGGTCTACTCGAGAAGAACCAAAACGAGGAGCTTGAGTTTTGTGAACACTTTGTATTGGGAAAGGATGAAAGACCCAGGTTTACAAGTGCAACTCATCGAACAAAAGGAAATTTGGACTATACTCATTCAGATCTCTTGGGATCACTTCAAAAACCCTTATCACTGTCTAATTGTCAATATTTTAAAAGCTTTATTGATGATTATTCAAGGAAAGCATGGATATATTTTTTGAAAAATAAGAGTTAAGCTTTTAACAAGTTTGTAAAATGGAAAACCAAACATGTAGGAAGTTGAAGAGATTAATAATAGATAATGACTTAGAATTCTGTAATAATGAGTTTGATGATTACTATTCTAAGAATAGCATATCCAAGCATCATACTCGTCTTAATACCCCTTAGCAAATTGGCTTAGCTGAACGTATAAATAGGATTATAATGAACAAGGTCAAATGTATGCTATTTCAATCTGGAATGCCTACAAGATTTTGGGCTAAAGCTGCCTCTACTGCATGCTATTTGATAAATATGTCTCCTAGTTCGGCCTTATGCTTCAAGGTCCCAAATGAAGTATGGTCTAGTTTCAAACCTTCTTATAAACATCTTAGATTGTTTGGAAGTTTAGCATAGGTGGTTGTAAGTCAATGAAAATTGAATCCTAGAGCTAAGAAGGGAATTTTTCTAGGTTACCCTCAAGATGTCAAAGGATACAAAATTTAGTTAATAGAGGACAACAAGTTTGTGCTAAGCCTTGATGTTATTGTAGGAATCCCGAATCAATCACGGGATTATTGTATTTATATTTATGGTATAATTGTCTCTAGGTTAGGAAAGTTTTATTTTCTTCTTTAGTTAGAATGTTATTTTCCTTTTTCTACTACGTGTGTAGTGTATATGTTGAGGCAAGTTGTATTGGAATATTATTGAGAAAAAGAATAAAAGCTTTTTTCTCATTCACATATGGTATTAGAGCTCAAGAAACACTAAAACCAGAAATCAATGGCTAAAAACACAACCCATAGTAAGGAATCTGTTTTCTCTGAATCCAAAACCAGCGAGGTCGACCCTGTCACCACCATGAATTGAATTGGAATCGATAGTTCCTCCTTCCAACTTACTGTGGAGAAAATCAACGGTACAAACTACAAGGAATGGGCTCAATCCTTCAAATTGGTGGTCGACGGGAAAGGAAAAATTGGCTATCTAACCGAAGAGGTGAAACAACCTATGGACGTAAACCTCCAACAGAAGTGGAAATCTGAAAATTCCATGGTGATGGTGTGGCTTGTTAATTCAATGAAATCGTCAATTGGCAAGATTTTTCTCTTCATGGCTACCGCAAAGGACATATGGGACGTCGCACGGGATTTGTACTTAGATGCAGAAGACTCGTCACAAATCTTTGAAATTAAAACGAAATTGTGGTAGGCTAAACAAGAAAAAGGACCGTTATTAAATACTACATGGAAATGACCACCCTTTGGCAATAATTAGATCTCAGCGTTGATGAACAGTGAGACTGCCCCAGTGATGGAGTTCGATACAAGAAAAGGGTAGAAAGTGAACGAGCGTATGAATTTTTGGCCAGACTAAACCACGAACTGGACGACATGATAAGCCGAATTCTTAGTTGCCGACCACTATCCTCCACACGCAACATCTTCGCTGAAGTCATACGTGAGGAAAGTTGTCGGCAAACCATGCTGAAGAATGGGTCATCTGCTGCCGTGAATGAGTCTGGAAGTTCTGTAGAGGGATCGACCCTTATTTTGGATTCAATTGGGACGCCTAGCCCTAATTCTAGTGAGCCTATTGGATTAAGTGGATATGGGCCACATGGAGCTGGTGCTAAATTTAAAAAACATTCTTATGATGGGCCAAAATTTGTTGGGCCAAATTTGGGAGTTCAAATTTCTAGAGAATCACCTAAAATTGGATCGGGCCAAAAACAAATAAAGGGTTGTCCATGGTGTGACCGCTGTCGAGAACATGGACATAAAGAAGACGCATGCTTTGATTTACATGGAAAACCACTTGATTGAAAATCAAGACAGAATAATAGAAATCATGGCTATCAAGCTTCAGTTGACTCTACTGAAATACAGAATTCCACTCCGAGTGGTGCTTTTAGTCATGAGCAACTTAAACAACTCTACAAAATGTTTCCTAATTTTCAGTCACCTAGTTCATCAAGTTACTTGGCCCACAGAGGTAATTTCCTGAGAGCCCTAAACACCACCACACTTTCAAAGGTACCATGGATTATTGATTCCGGTGCGTCGGATCACATGATGGACTCCTATCACTTATTTTCTTCTTATTCATCATGTGCGGCAATCTTAAAGTTAAAATTGAAGATGGTTCATTATCTCTAGTGGCTGGGAAAGAAGTATTCGTATCTCTAACTTAATCACTCTCGAGCACGTACTACACGTCCCAAATTTATCATGTAATTTATTATCCATTAGCCAATTAACAAAATATTCAAATTGTTCAGCTAGTTTCTTTTCTTTCCACAGTATGTTTCAGGACCTATCATTGGGGAAGACGATTGGCAGCGCTAAAGAGTGTGAGTGACTCTACCACTTTGACATGGCTAATGTGAGTAAACAACGTCAATTTTCTAGTTGTGATTCTTTTTTTTCCCTAAGGATAGTGAACTTCTTTTATGGCATTATAGAATGGGACACCCCAACTTTCAATATTTAAGACATGTATTCCCATCACTATTTTTGAATAAAATACCTTCTGATCTTACTTGTGAAAGTTGTGAACTCACAAAACAATATCGCTCTTCATTCCCAAAATCCGTGTATAAACCATCTCAACCTAGCATGATTTACAGTATTTTATGGGGACCCTCACAAATCCCCAATCGCACTTACACAAGATGGTTTGTCATGTTTATTGAGGATCACACTTGAATTTGTTGGGTCTATATGTTAAAAGAAAAGATCGAAGTTCGTTTCATGTTCATAAATTTTCATACAATTATGCAAACTCAATTCCAGACAAAAATTCAAATTCTGCGCACAGATAACGACACAAAATATTTCAAGAATACCTTAAAAATCTACCTTCAAGATAATGGGATAATCCATCAAAGTTCTTGTGTCGATACCCCACAACAAAATGGAGTTGCTGAACATAAAAATAGACACCAAATTGAGATAGCTCGAGCACTGATGTTCACCACCAATTTAAACAATACTTTCTGGGGTGATGCCATCCTAATATCAGCCTATCTCTTTAACAGATTGCCTAGTCGTACCCTCAATTTTGAAACTCCTCTCCAAAAATTCCAGACCTTCTTCCCTAACTCTCGCCTTAGCTCTAACTTACCCCTAAGAGTGTTTGGATATACGGCTTTTGTACACATATACTCTCATCATCGAAACAAACTCGAACCCCGTGCAGTTAAGTGTGTATTTATTGGGTATTCACCTACATAAAAGGGGTATAAATGCTATGATCCTATCACCAAAAGATTATTCGTGAGTCTTTGATGTCACTTTCTTCGAAAATCATCCATACTTCCAAAAAACCTCTCTTCAGGGGGAGAATATTAGTGAAGATCGGTTCTTAAAAATTTCCATTAATCCCTCTGAATCCATCACTAAACATACAACACCACTCTATTCTAACATGCCATCAATAGAAGGAAGCTTAAACTCTGGGGGAGAACAGAAAGAACAGCATGGTAAAGAAACAATAGTTTACTCAAGAAGGCTAAAACTGAAATATGACCCCACACTCGAAGACCAAGAGAGTCAGAATCGGTGATAGCTTCAGAACTTCGTGAGCTCCCTTCAAAATCATCCGACACTGATCTACCTATTGCTCTCAGAAAACAAATGCGGTCATGCACCCTCCATCCTATCTCAAAGTTTATCTCTTATGAATATCTATCTCCAGTTTTTCAGTCTTTTATTGCTAACCTTGACAGTACAAAAATTTCAAAAAATGTTAAAGAAGCGTTGGAAATCCCCAAGTGGAGAAAAGCAGTAATGGAAGAAATGAAAGCCTTAGAAATAAATGAAACATGGGATGTGATGGAACTACCGAAAGGAAAGAGACCCATCGAGTGCAAATGGGTGTTCAATGTAAAATATAAAGCAGACGGGATGATAGAAAGGTACAAAGCTTGCCTAGTTGCAAAAGGATATACTCAAACTTATGGAATAAACTACATGGAAACTTTTGCACCGGTTGAAAATTGAATACAATTCGGGTCCTTCTATCACTAGCAGCAAACTTGGATTGACCACTCGGACAACTTAAAATTAAGAGTGCATTTCTAAATGGGCAGTTGGATGAAGAAGTCTACATGATACTACTACCAGGATTCTCTAAGAAAGGTGAAGAAAACAAAGTATGCAAATTGAAAAAATCTCTGTATGGTCTGAAACATTCACCTAGAGCATGGTTTGACATATTCATGAAAGTGTTGAAAAATCAGGGATACCAACAAGGACAATCAGATCACATTATATTTTTCAAGATATTCGAAGATGGAACAAAGACGATTCTAATCGTATATGTTAATAACATAATCATTACCGGAGATAATACAGTTGAGTAGAGAGACTAAAAGATTGTCTAGCCACAGAATTTGAAGAGAAAGATTTGAGGCAGATGAGATACTTCTTGGGGATGGAAGTAGCTAGTTCAAGGAAGGATATTAGTGTTTTACAACGAAAATATGTCCTGGACCTCTTGACTGAGACATGTAGGCTTGGATGTAAACTAAGTGACACCCTATGGAAACTTAAAAAAGGATCGACAACATGGGAGAATTGGTTGATAAGGATAGATACCAGCGATTGGTGGGAAAGCTAAGTTACCTATCATATACTAGACTCGACATTGCAGTCGCAGTTAGTGTGGTAAGCCAGCACATGCATTCTCCAAGGGAAACTTACCTTGAAGTAGTATACAAGATTCTGAGATATCTCAAAGGTTCTTCAGGAAAAGGTTTGTTGTGGGAGATATTCACCGATGCTGATTGGGCAGGAGCATTAGAAGATAGAAGATCAACCACTGGTTACTGTACTTTTGTATGGGAAAACTTAGTAACTTGGAGAAGTAAGAAACAGAATGTAGTCATCAGAAGTAGAGCAGAAGCAGAATTTAGAGTGGCTGCTTAAAGAATGTGTGAAGGCCATTGGTTAAAGAAACTCTTGGAAAAACTATAAGTCACAATGAAATTCCCAATTAAGTTCTAC